TTCCGATGCAAGTTTCTCTGCATATACCATGTCAGTGGTTAGAAACTATGCTTAATTTACACTCCAATTCTGAATGCATAGAGCTAAAAATACACGCGGGAACACATATATATACACTAAATTCAGGAGTAGAAAATTAGCAGTTTATAAAGGAACATTTAAATAGGATGCGTTAAAGTGGAAAAGATCACTTGTTACATATGAAAAGCCAAATGGAAATGCCTCATGCATTTGACCAGTAAGACAGTAACCAGTAATTCAGCAAATCCCCACAAGAATAATGCATTTTTAGTTTACAAGAATTACTCTTGTGGAGCTTAAGTTTATTTTATTCCATATGTTAATTGGTTCATAAAATGAATACAAAAAGACATTGACATTAAGATTCAAGCCAACCTATCACATGGAGTTTTATAGTCCATGAGCATGACTCTCGTAGCAAACGTAGGCGATATGGTGGAGCTCCATATGTCACCTGCAGTTTTTGCAAGCGTTCAAGGCTGATCAGGTGAAATGCAAAGACACATTGTATCCATTGGAGAGCAAATCTGAATGCAGATTGATGTTAAAACAAGAGGTGCAATTACCAGAACATAAACTCCTTTATCCTTGAGGACCCTATAGTGTGTCATCAACTGCTTCAATAATGGTGAACAGATCAAGAATAAAAAAAATCCAAAATAAAACAGAAGCTGTAAAACAATTATAGACTTTTGTTCATGGTTTTATTATACCTCCAAATTTCCTCAAGCATTTTTGTAGCATTTTGCTTTGAATTACTTCCACACTGCAAACAAAAACATGCAACGAGCAAACTATAAGGCCTGTTAAACAAGCTATCATTTCAACGAGCATTATCATCGCTACACTCACCAAGATAGAGTCAAGAGTCCCTGAAGAACAAAATCAAACAGCATCAACACAATTCATTGTCCAAGGCACTAATTCTTTTTAAAGAAAAAACAGATAAAAAAGTTAAAACAAAACAGTAAGCACACCTTTGTCAATAACAGCCCCAAAAGACTCTGATTGAAAATCACTCATGTCTCTGACATCCATTTTCATATCTGCCCAATCATTAAGGATACTTCACAATCAAGATTTTCATTACCATCTCAAAGTTAAACTCTATACAGTTCAATACTTTTACAATAAGTTTAATTAAAATGCACTAAAAACTATCATCCAATCACATATTATCATGTACAACGAATTTATCGACATTTCAAACAAGTAATAACTAAATTAAAATTCATCACAAGGAAGATTTGTAACCAACCGGTTTATAATGTTAAAAAAAAAAAAAACCAAAATGGTATGACAATTAAAGTCTTTTAGGATCCCATAAGATGAAAAAACGGCATGGATAAATGAGAAAGCATGAAGGATACATTTCAATTGGGGATAATCTCGGTATTTGGTTTTCATAGCATCAATGACCACCGAAGATATATCAATGTTGACAACATCCGTGTAACCGCCATCAACCACCATGCCTTCACTGAAGGCTGCAAACACAAGAAAAAATCAAAATTTTTTATTAAAAAAAGCAACAAAACAAAGAGAGAAAAAAGTGATTTTTAGGAAATGAAAAGAAAAAGGGGATGCAGGAAGGAATGAGATCTGAAAAAGAGAAGGTGCCTGAGTTGCCAGAACCAACGACGAGGAGAGGGTGGTTGGAAGGGACATAGAGGGTGATGATGGGTGCCAAAGTGAGGTACTTTTGGTACCAATCAAAGGGACCAGGTTCGTTGGTGTAACGGTTGTCCCAGTACCATGGTTCACCGTAGGCTTGGGAACTCGTCGTCATCACTCTCACTCACTCTCTCTCTGGAAATAGAAACTGAATGTGTTACAGTCACAGGTTTGTTTTGTTACGAATCTTGTAACTTGTAAGGGAAATGGTTGGAACAAACGAGATGAGATGAGAGAAGAAACGGAAATTAACATCTAATTGTGTGACGTGGCATCACCCATTGTGGTCAGTGTTTCTTATGTTGTCGGCCACGGCTACTACCATTGCGTTTCTCTCTTAACATGCTAAATAATCTTATGCTATTTAAGAAAAGTTATAAAACAATAAAGATAATTTTTTTAAGAGTTTCATTTTTGTATAGTGTAATATATCAAAATACTTTAGCTCAATTGTGTGTAAATTGTTGTGAATTTTTAATGCTGAATTTCATTTTCCTAAGTTTAAAAAGGTTTAATTATTCTTTTGTTTTTATAATTTCATTAATTTAGTTTTTAGTTTTTATAATTAAATATAGTTCATTTTAGTTTTAATATATATCGTTTTTTTGTTTTTTAATTTCTATAATATCATAAATTTTATCTTTAATTCTTATAAAAATATACGACAAAGACTTAAAAAAAAATTATAGAATTGAAATGGATGTATTTAACTACATTGAATAAAAATTATACGAAACTATAGGACCAAAATAGTAATTAAAGCATTAAAAATATCATTAAAAAAATTAATCAATAAAAACTAATTACGAATATAATTTTTAAAATAATTAGTATAAAATTAAAAAAAACATCATCAATTTTTCCAACATCAAAATTCACATTGACCGAACACAAATTCAAAGATTTGTTAGACTCCTTTTCCTTTGGATTTATATATATATATATATATATATATATATATATATATTCTCGGCTAATAAATTATTCACTCATTTTTAACGATGTGTTTAAGTAAAATATTCAAATTAAAGATTTTATTTTTAAAAAGTAGACCTTATTTTGTTAATTTAGTTTTCCAATTTAGTAATTTTACAACGATTTAATTTTTAAATCTATCAACTTCATAATAAATCCAGTGTCTTAAAAGAACTTACTTGCCCTAAAGTTAATAAATTTAGAGGCTAATTTGTAAACAAAAAAAAATAGAGACTAAACTATTCCTAAAAGTTATAAGAACTAAAACAGCATGTATTATTATTTTTTAAGTATTAAATTTAGTATTTTCTTCCTATCTATTTCTTTTTTTATTGAACTACTCGAGATAAAATAACGTAATTTTGCATGTGATTTATACACGTATCACTTTAGTTAGATATGCATCACTTCAATCATTTGATTATAATTAATTC